AGGTCTCCCACATCTCCCGCACCTCATCCCTCACACCCCGTCCACGCAATAAAAACCAAAAAAGAATCCCCCTCGTCCTCACGTACCACCCCACCACCCTCCGGATCCAACGCATCATCCTCCGACACTTCCGCCATCTGCAATCCGACCCCACCACCAAAGACATCTTTCCCTCCCCACCTTTATCTGCTTTCCGGAGGGACAACTCTCTCCGTGACTCCCTTGTCCGCTCCACACTCCCCTCCAGCTCCACCACACCCGGCACTTTTCCCTGCAACCGCAGGAAGTGCTACACCTGCCCCCATACCTCCTCCCTCACCCCCATCCCAGGCCCCAAGAAGACTTTCCACATCAAGCAGATGTTCACCTGCACATCTGCCAATGTGGTATACTGCATCCGCTGTACCCGGTGTGGCTTCCTCTACATCGGGGAAACCAAGCAGAGACTCAGGGACCGCTTTGCAGAACACTTGCGCTCGGTTCGCAACAAACAACTGCACCTCCCAGTCGCGAACCATTTCAACTCCCCCTCCCATTCCTCAGACGACATGTCCATCCTGGGCCTCCTGCAGTGCCACAACGATGCCACCCGAAGGTTGCAGGAACAGCAACTCATATTCCGCTTGGGAACCCTGCAGCCCAATGGTATCAATGTGGATTTCACAAGTTTCAAAATCTCCCCTCCCCCCACCGCATCCCAAAACCAGTCCAACTCGTCCCTGCCTCCCTAACCTGTTCTTCCTCCCACCTATCCCCTCCTCCCACCTCAAGCCGCACCTCCATCTCCTACCGACCAACCTCATCCCGCCCCCTTGACCTGTCCGTCCTCCCTGGACTGACCTATCCCCTTCCTAACTCCCTACCTACACTCACCTTTCCTGGCCCCATCCCCGCCTCTTCGACCTGTTTGTTTCCTCTCCACCTATCCTCTCCTCTATCCCTCTTCTATCCGCCTCCCACTCTCTCCCTATTTATTTCAAAACCCCCTTCCCCTCCCCCTTTTCTGATGAAGGGTCTAGGCCCGAAACGTCAGCCTCTCTGCTCCTATGATGCTGCTTGGCCTGCTGTGTTCATCCAGCCCTGCACCTTGTTGTCTTTGTTTTGTGATTGTTTGTTTGACTTTGAAATATTTACTGTGTACAAATGAACAGATGAGCAATATTTTTTACTTCATTGTAGATTGCCTTGGAGAATGCTTGGGCTTTTTCTGCACAATATAGCCCTGTATTTTTTCTGTTCAGCTAACAACTCTGAGGAAAAGCTTGAGGACTTTGCTGTTGTCGAAAGATATGCTACAAAGCAGTTGAATTTGGATGACCCCAAAATGAAAGGCCGTGGTTGTTTCTTGACCCTGTGAAATGACAAGCTGAATTGTGTGATCATGTCATTGGTATAATTTTAGCATGATTCTTTTAATGAAAACATGAACTGGATTATTCTATTTATCCAAATACCATGGTTTATGTTTTATCAGTTTAAATATAACTATTTCTGGAAAGATAATGTTTTCCGATTCACACAGTTGTAGTTGGGCTTTCTAGCATCTTTCAATAATCCAGAAATGGCCTGGTCTCAAATACTCTCGACTGGAGATATTGGTGCATATATGCTTGTAGTTAACAATTGTGCGTACTTGGTGCTAACATTTGGATTTGCTGAAGATGGCTACTGTCTGAATTTTTTTAAAGCAGCTAACTTGCTCTGCATTTTCTTGTCACACAGTAACAGGGCAGGTATTAATTATGAAATTATTGATCTGAATGGGCCACTGCCATTATTTGTTTGAATTCTATATGGCATTGCTTTCCATCCCACCATCACATTTGTCTCTTGTGCTTTATAGGAGGCCAACAAAATCAAGCAGCCTCCGGACTTTGAACATCAGCACTAGGCTTGTGTTAAAATCAAATCTGCACAAGTATCACTTACTGAAAACACCTGAAATATTCTGGACTATGACAAAAGACATGTTGCTTTTTGTTCCTTCTGCCGCAGCGCTGTGGAAGTTTTAATTACATGGCTGACCTGTGAGTTGTTTCATTAGCTTCCAACTTGGTTCTGATTAAGGGAGAATAAGTAGCTTTGTCTGTGGACAAAGCAAACTGTGAAATCTCTGGAGTTATTACAAAGGCTTTGTAACCAAACTTGAATCTGCTTTACTTTCTCCAGCTGCTTTACATTTTCAGCAGTTTCTATTTCTGTATCTCCAGCAGTTTGTTTTGTAGCCTTCACTCTCAAGTCTTTTTTTTAGTTGGGCATTCAATAGGTAGTGTGTGCTGCTTTTGCTCTGAAATCTTACCTATACAGGGTGAGGATGCATATTGAGCACCGAAGTGTCAGATTTTGAAACGTCAACAGCATTGCTTCTTCTTTTAACAGCATGATTAAATAACTTGGGCTTGTGTTGGATGTTCATTTGGGCATCTAGTATTCTTTAAAAACCTACTGTTGGATAATTGCAATGTGTGCTATTCCAAGTAATTCAAAATTGTGTTTTGGGATAATTTTAACATGCAATGCCCTGGTGGCAAACAAACTCACCCAGACAGGAAAATGAGTGACTAGGCTTTTATAACTGGTATTCCAAGACTGTTTGGAATGTATATGATTGACAGCTAGGATCTGGCTGCTTTGCAAAACAAGAATTAAACTGTCCCATCTGCAAATCTGTCAAAAATTTGGCTGCATCAGTTTAACATATGCACTTATGAATGTTGCTTTGTCCTGTTTTAATTCTGTAGTTGCAGAGATCTGAAAATAATTGGTTTTAGCATGATATCTTCATAAATCAAAGCAATAAATCAATGCAATTTATTTCTATTGCAATTGTCATGCATACACCAATAAAAATGTGAACTTTATTGAGGTGCAAGGGTAACCAATATTGACTTGACTAATACATAAAGACAAAAGTGAAGCACCTGAGCAATAGAATGCTCAGTTTCTGTAGTGAGTAGGGAAACTTTGTAACATTTATATAGGTAATATCTATTTACTGATAGGACTTGCGTTGCAGAACTGAGGTAATCAAAAGGTTTAGAATAGGGAAGTGAATATAAGGAAGCTTTCTTGAGTGAGAAATACTATAAACTTTGAACATGAACTTGGTAGGAAAATTTTGGTGTTGATGTGGCTTGTTTAAACTGGAACTTTGCTTTCCATATCAATTTTGTCCCAGGGCAGGAGGAAGTGTTTCTGACAAAACATGTCTGTGGTTGTTTTTGTCACTATCTTTTTTTTTTCCCCTATTTAAACTTCTGTTTCCTCCTTGTCCCACTTAGTTCGCAATTAGACCTGAAGTTTTAATGAGAGGGATAGTTGACGGGGTATTTTGTTTGACAGCTCGGATCCGTTTATGGAAATAGCTTGTTGTACAAATAGGAAATGTACGAGAATAAGTTCTGTTTTGGGGAACTGGGCCATAGTAATTAATAAGGTGAGTTCATGGAGGCTCTGAATTAAACTCATTCACCATATGTGCTAATTAAGCTGCATCACCTTGTTGGTAAATCAGAATTGTCCATTTGCGAAAATTCCCTTGTTCCAAGCTGTTTGTGTTTTTTTAATTTATTGTTTTAAAATGCTAGTTTCATGTTGTATAAAGGAATGTTCAAATGTAGATCAAAGAAAAGACGAGGAGAAAATTGACATGCTCAAGATAACAAACAGATGGTATCATGGCGATCTTGGAGGTTACAGATGTTACTTGTTGGTATTCCTGTTGCCTAGTTGCACCAGAAGATGAAAACCTCCTTTTGGATCCAGTTTTATATTTGTAACCCACAATGAGGTCTTTGTTAGATTTCAGCACATCAGAATAGAGCCTCTTTTCAGACTTGCAGCAAGCAACTTCAGAGTTGTACAGCTTTGCAGCTTATCAAGTAGCTCAGTGCTAGTCCCTCATGCTGATTTCGGGTGGTTGTCATGTTGGTCCTTGCATGTGGCAGCACTTGCAGAACTGTGAACTATGCCTCGTGAACTCTGTGTGCTTCAGGTGTTATAAAATTAGTCAGACCTGCCAACCTTTCACTTGGGAAGCTGTGTAATTACAAAGGGCAGAGCTCCAAGCCCTCTAAGTTCGTTGAAGATAGTGCCTCCAAGATATCTGAATTAACTTAGTGTAATTTTCTTACACTGTTTCCATGATTTTAGTGAGGTTAGATTTCAGCTTTCACAGAAACTACATCTTGGCTCCAAGCAAAAAGTCAAAAGAAAATGCTATTGCTAGAAATTTGAAATGAGTTAATGCTGGGAACTTGCGAGTAACCAGTCAACTGTAGAGAGAACAGAATCTGTAGCACAGCTGATGGGTCTGTACCTGAAATGTAAACTTTGCTGTACTTTCCACAGATGCTAATTAACCCATAACTTTGCAGCGTCTTCTATTTTGTCCCTGTTACTTTATGGCATAATTAAGGTTCTCTCCGCAACAAGTCAGAAGTCGATGGGCCTGTCATGAATAAAGCTGCAGCTACGCTGTGCATTCTAAGTTGCACAAAGTGTGGAAACTAAACCACACAAAAAAACACTTCGAATTCTCCATGGAGAATTCGTGAAAATGAATTCAAATATTTTGTTCAAACTTGTTAACATTTATATTTGTATTACCATGCTCATGTATAACAACTTCATAACTTGTGCCATGTAACCAAGTGATGTGCTGATTATGGGAGGTTTATTTTTGGATTGGAACCACAAAGACAAAATACAGTACAAGCAAGGAAGTAGAACTTAAATTCATACGAGTCATTGGCAACATGCTGCTATTTTGGTGTATCCTTAATGTTTAGTTACTCGAGTTTGCTGGAGGTTTATACAGCCAGTTCTTGTTTCCATAAATACACTGGTGACACCATCTCTTTTATTGCCTCTATATTGTTAGGCTGCTTTCTGGTGTTCAGTCCTGAAGAAAATTGCAAATTGTTCAACTAACATTTGGAAGACCCAAGCTTCCTCTGGGCTTGGCCACAAACTCCATATCATTACCACTGTTTTGCATAGAAGTTATTTTCAACCTGTGCATCCTATTCAATTCCAAGCTGAGTTTCCAACAGCCTATATGCCCCATTACAAAGACTAATTATTTTTATCCATGTGATATCGCCTGAAATCTCCCAACCTGCAGCAAATCTGCTGAAACAATTTTGTATGGTTTGTTGTCACCTCTTGCAAAGATTTTTTTGTTTTAAATATTGATTGTGGAATAGCATTGTGGAAAATGGACTTGTTTTGAGTTTTGTGGACTTACCTGGTAGTTTCTTCAAAGGCAGTCAACGTTGTAAATTTATTTTAACAATTCCACTAAGAAAGCACTGGAATGTTGATAACTGCTCACTTTACTGGGACTACTCAACCTGTAACAAGTTGCCATAGTCTTTCTAGATTATAGAACTGCTCTCCATTAGAGAGAATGGTGGAGGTTTAACCAGAGAGTCAGCACATCTCGGGTGACAGGAGAGGTTGGGAAGGAGGATCCTTCATCATAACTTCAGCCCATGTGGGAATTGAACCCACACTATTGGCATCACTCTGCATTGCAAACCAGTCATCCAGCTGAGTCAAACCATGCCATTAAAGCATTAACAAAAGTCTTGTCCAGCATTACATTCCATGGTGTGAAAGAAGATTTGAATTGGACGCAACAAATTCCTGAATAAGATTCTTCCTTATATCATTTGAATTTCTGGAAAACATGACAAAAAAATGTGGCGAGGGTGTGAAATGATTAAAGTAATTCCTGTGTTGACAGTGTTACATACATTTTTCTTTTCCTCCCTCTGTTTGTTTGAATATACTCTGCTGACATGCTTATTGAGAAATACCCCTCCCACTGGGTGCAGAGTGAGATCCCACGCATGTAATGTGGCAGAATGTTTCCATTCAGTGGGTAAGTGTTTGGTATCAATGTGACTTCAACAACTGCTGCTACCTATTGTCAAGCTGTATGCTTTATTTAAGAAGCCAGTTGTTCCTCCTTTTGGTAGTGATATTGCCTTGTACAATATAATTGGCATACCAGTACTGTAGAACTTAAAATTTTATCTTTGTATTTCTGTTCTGCCAAGCAGTTATCTTCAAACCCTTAAATAAGTCACTTGACATTCTTTTCATGCATGCCTTTGCTGGAGCTTGTGTATGGAATGGTATAAAGGTATATATGCCAGTGAAGCTTTATCACAAGAGGTAGCCTCTATTTATTTTGCACTTGTCAAAATGGAACAAAATTATCTAAAGTAGGCCACCTTTTTGAAGCCACAGCCTAGGTTAGTTGGGAACTGTTAAAACAACTGCCCAAATTGTTGCAGAATTTTGTAAGAGGAATTTATTGGATTGTATTTTTAATGCACAAATCACTTGTTTCTTTTTTTAAAAACTGTGATATTGAATTATCATATTCTGGTCATAGTGGGCTGTTGCTACCTGTACTGTCTGGAGCTCAAAGGTGTGGATTATAGTTTACTTTAAAAATTACAGTTTGACTTTTTGGCTCAAACAGGGACACTTTGTTGCTGAAAGATCTTGGATGACCTAATGTGCAGAGCAATTTTGCAGGGTTTTATTTTGGCTGACATGATTTTCTGATATCTTAAACCTCAAACAGGAAATAGTAGTGCAAAATTGAATTGCACCCTTGGACTCCCTTTGCCATGTTTTAAATTTCGGACATTACATTGTGTAAATTGAATGCAGTTTTGACACTGGGAATTTAGTGATGGAGATGAAAAGTTTTTTATTTTAAATTTTTCAGGAAAAGTGATCTGAAATCACGGCCCCCTACCTTTTTTTTTAAAACAGTTAAATCAAACTCTGCATTTTGCTTCTGGTTTCTTGTAGGTTATTGATTTGAACAGTAATTATTTCAGTTTGAAAACTATTGTTATCTCTCTCCTGATTTCCCCCATGTGAAATGAAGAATTTTCCACTTACAGCAGTGCTAATTCTGCAGTGAATCAGCTGCTGTGCTTCAGAGCAAACTATGTAACGTAGCTTTATGTGTAGGGTTTCTATTAATCCTTCACTAGTGGCTCAGTAAATACATTCAAATTCTGCCTTTGCTAAGGGGACAGTTAGCTTTGCAGATTATCACTCAAAGATGGATAGTTTTACCCCTTGCTCAAAAAGGTGAGTGTCTGGTAGTTTTTTTCCTCTTACAGATGGTAGTACCAGAGCAATCGATGCTGGGACGTTCATGTTGGATATTCCTGTTTTGAAGTGAAGGACAAATTCCAAATATCTTGTTTTGACGCTGGTTGTTCCTGAATGTATTGCATAGCTAAAGTCTGTACATGTACTTGGCTAAAGATATTGTTACAAATGTGGGGTGGTATAAGATGACTTAAGATAAACGTGAATAATGAAGCAAGTCATGTGATCTGAGTTCTGCCTGATAACAAGCCTGTGTGTGCTGATTACCTTGGAAGTACAGGCTGGGCCCATGTAGAGTGCAGGTACCACGTTTAACTCTTGACGATAAAGGCTAAAGCAGTTACTTTTGTTGCAAACTGTCTCAAGAGCATTTGAGAACTGTTTCATCCTGCTGTAGGTGGAAGGAGAAATCATTTGTGGTGAGTCATACTGCTTGAGGTTATTTTGGGATTTATCAGAAGATTGAGGGAAACTGTTTTGGAAAATAATGGGCAGTACAACTCCTAACGAAAACTGGCAATAACTTTGGCCAGTTTGCTCAAAATAACTTCAATTCTATGATAGTACTATAGAGTAAATATAGTATGCAGTTATGCGTCATAGTAAAATGTTGATGAGGGCTCTGTGCTCTGAAATTTAGAGTATTCATTACCAAGTAAGTGATATTTGATGAAATATTGCTTTTAGTATGTTACAGTAAGACTTAACTTGGATATCTTGTGCAATTCCATGATATTGGTCACTGCAAATTCAAATAGCTTTTAAAACGTTATTGGTCTCTACAGGGTTGGTAATAACTGATATTTTGAAACATGCCTTCGCTGCTGAAAATAACAGATACTGTGGTACAATACTGTGTCTCTGGGTAGCAGGGTAGGTCAGATTTTTATCCCACGATTCATGGAAACTCTTTTCCCAAACCTTTTTACATCAGGGCTGCATTTCAATTTTTCTCTTGCGTTGGGGCAGGTGAGAAAATGTAAGAAAGACCACAACAGTAAACGTGAATTTCAGAAAGAAATTCTAAAGCAATAAACTGGTCATTTTAAATGAATAATTATTTTCAAAAAACCTTTTAAAAAGTGCCAGGCAGCATGGCGAACTAATAAAATTGTTATAGGTTGAACAGCAAAGCTTCAAGGAGAAGGGAAAATGGGGAGAAAATTCAGAAGTCTAAAGTGCAAAGAGACTTGGGAGTTCTAGTCCAGGATTCTCTCAAGATAAACTTGCAGGTTGAGTCAGTAGTCAGGAAGGCAAATGCAACTTTGGCATTTATTTTGAGAGAACTTG